AGTTCAGGATTTAACATGTGATGAATTACCATCCCCTCTGTGGTTTGAAGAGGCTTAATTCGTGCTCTTTTGACAAGATACCTACGTTTCCTGTAGATAACTTTAAAGTTTTTTGATATAAGAATAAAACCTGTGCACTGTGGTAGAGTATAATTCCATTATGGGTAAAATTTGTTTTGATAGTGTCACAGTTTTATACAGCAATGTTTACTGATGACCACATTTCGAGCACAATTTATTACTGTTCATCATCATATCAAGGTACTCACACAACTTTCTAACTTCACTTATATAATTCCATTATTTTTCATCGCTTGACTTGATTGGTAGTAGTACTTTCCATATTTCCGGTATGAGCGATTAGTCATTCCTATTGTACGTGCTGTGTTGGGTGTAGACTCTATGAACCAGGCCGGATTCCGTAATCAATCTCTCTCTCTCTCTCCCCACCTACCTATATTACTGTTTAGAATTTTAACCCTCGCCCACCATGCTAATGTGTGGTTGTGTGTTAATGCATACATGAAGTGTGCGTCAGTGGCACAGTGGTTAGGACTCTCGCCGACCATGCACATGGTCCGGGGTTCGAGCCCACGCCGACGCACACCTGATATCTATGGTCGGCCTGCAAAATTTGGGCTACCGATATCGCATGCTGAAAATTCCATACTTGTACCAAAAATACAGTGTGGAATCAAGCTGTAAATCAAAAAACAAAAAAAAATTGCTGAGCTTTTTTCTAAATTACTTATCTTTTCGGGGTCAATCATTCTTACCTTATCTAAATCCTTATGTTCCGACAATCTGACTACCCCGACCTACTAGTTTGACCTGTGTAGTTGACCTCACAGTCATTGCATGGTATTTTGTAAATTATATTATTTTGTTTACTTGGGTCAACCTACGTGGTCCTTTAACCTACAGAGGTTTAGATGCCACTCTAATTCCTGCTTTATTGAGAATCCTACGTAGGGTCTCAGATGCCCCCTCCTTATATGGTATAACAGTGGACGACTTATATTCTCTCTTATTTATGTTATTATTAATAGTTTCACAATTAATTTTATTTTGCTTTTAGCCTTTTCCAATCTTCCTAATGAATTTTAAAGGTAGTTATTTAACACCAACGCTTCTTCTATCTGTTTTATTTCATCATTTAGGTCTTTTCTTGTGCTTCTTAGTGCTACTGCTCGGTTTGTTAGACACTTCGCTAAGCCTGCCTTAAAAGTTAATGGATGAAATGAATTAAAGTCTAAATGTCAATTAGAATACGTTGTTTTTTATAAACGCTAGCGTGTAGTTTGCCTTCTTCTATTCGTTTTATCTTACAATCTAACATCACAGCTAATTCTCCTCATTCATTTTCCGATTCAAATGTGAATTTCATTCTCTCCATTAGTGACTTTATGTGTGTCAAGATGCTAGAGATATGTTGTATTTTTACCACTGTGTCATCCACATATCTCCCCCATATTTTTGGAGTAGGATTAAATGCATTAAGAGCACTATTTTCCCAGCTGTCCATAAATATGTCTGCTACAATAGGCGATATTGGTGATCCATCCCATTGCTTCACCTTCTGTCTGTCTATATATTATACCTTGAAATGTAAAGATAGTGGATGTGAGACGCCATAACTGAATTTCTAGAATAATTTCTTCAATGGGTAGCTTTGTCCTATGACTGAGTTCCGGATCCGCAGTTAATTCTTTTTTAACTGCTTCTAAGGCTGCCATATTGACTGGTATATTAGTATAAAGACTAGTTATATCAAAACTAACCATTGTTTCAACATTCTGTAGTTGAATGTCATTTAGTTTATTTTTCATCCCATATGAATTAGCTAGTCTAGAGTTTAAACGATTTCTAATGGGGCACAATATTAAAGCTAAGTGTTTTGATAATTCATAAGTAGGGGTATTTCTAAAGTCTATTATTAGTCGTATGGAGTAACCTTGTTTATGCAATTTATTTTATGTATTTAGAAGTTTTTTCGTGGGTTAAGATGTTGTTCCAGAACGCAGCTTTGGGGTGGAGAGGGGAGACTTTGTTTCTCTCTCTCTCTCTCAACGAATGAAAAACAAAACGATATTGTTGCTTTTATACTGACGCTTCTCTATTTGAGCTGAACTCCTGCTATTAGCCTTATCAATTATTAGTCATTATTAAATCAAAATATGATGAAATCTCAGCTTATGTGCATGCACACATATAAACAACTGAACCATACGGCTTCATCATGAGGTAATTTTATAAGGTAGTCAAATGGATATATGAATTGTTGAATGACAAGGTGGTGTCATGTGCTGAAGTTATTCGATTTGATAAATCTATGAATTATTAAAGCATAACAGCATGTGTATGCGTGTGTTCGTGTGTGTTTACCTAATGAAAATGCGAAACGTGAATAAAAACAGCGTCATTTTGTTTTTCATTCATTTGGAAGTCATATTATTACTGTTTGTTGTTAAGCAACACAAACTTGACATATTATGGGCACCAAACAATAATGCGCCATACAAAAACTCATAATTTGCTCTGGGGTGTTCAGATGCTGCCCAGACACCTATACCTAGTGGTCCAACCACCTCTCCCCCCCTTCCACGACTGAGTCTTCGACTTTCAAGTGTCATCCACAAGGCAGTGGAACAGCATCGTGGTTTCTAGTGCCTTAAAACAGGTTCCTATGTACATTTGATCCTTTTGGATTCCGAAGCCCATGTACACACACCATGTAGGCTTGGAATCAGAGTTTTCTAACTACCCCCCAGATAGAGCTGAATGCGAAAGGTGTTCTTTGCAAGATTAACAATACTTCTAATTGGAAATAAAAACCTAAAGAAGTGAGTAATTATGAGTTTGCATCGATTCTACTACAGTAAATGTATTCACATATGTCCATATTCATCATCATTGAACAAAGCTTGAAATGGCACTCAGTGAGCTCTCTATCTCAACTTCATCGACTTAGAAAAGGCATTCGACAGACAGCGTCGATTGAGAGGTGATTTGTCAACTAATTCGCTACTACGCGATGCCACCAACAATTATACACCTCATTCAATAGTTGTACGACAATGCTGCATGCCAAGTAATCCACAACGGGAAACTCACAGAATCCTTCGAAGTGAAGACGGGAGTAAGACAAGCTGGCTGCCTACTATCGCCAATGATTTTCCTGATTGTGGTAGACTGGATAATGCGACAGACAGTGGCGGGTAGCGAGGTCTCACACAAAAAACTTGGAGGATCTGGACTTCACCGATTATATATGTCTGATTTCCCACAAACTGGAAGATATGCAAGTGAAAAGCACAAGCTGGTAGAAGAAGCATCAAAGATAAGACTTCAGGTGAACAACGAGAAAACAGATGTAGGTGATGAAGATTCCTGGCCAACAGCGACAACAACAACAACAGATGAAAATCAGCATAAACGGGAGGAACCTGGAAGAAACAACCTACTTTACCTACCTGGGAAAGCATCGTTTCAACTACAGGCGGACGGAACTGATGATGATATCAAAGTGAGGATCAGGAAAGCAAGACAAGCTTTCGTTACTCTCAAATCTGTGTGGAGGTCAACAGCATTCAGCATCAAAAATAAGATCCGAATTTTCAACTCCAATGTGAGGTCAGTCAGTACTACTTACCATATGGATCAGAGACTTGCACTGCGCGTCATAAAGAGCACCTCAAACAAAATACAGACCTTCGTTAACATCTATCTCTGCTCAATACTCAAGATTAGGTGGTCAGAAAAGATCAGCAACAGGGATCTATGGGAACGCACCAACACAGCAGGAACCGATTGTGAAACAAAGAGGCAGGAAGAAATGGAGTTAGATGGATTGGCCATACTCAGAGTAAACCATCGAGTGAGTTCACTAGACAAGCCATTACTCGAGTGGAACCCAAAAGGGAGGCGGTGAGTTGGTCGTCCAAGGTTGACTTGGAGGAGGTCATGTGAAAAGGAAATGAAAGCATGTGGAGGACTTGGAGCCAGGTGAAAACTCTAACAGAGAACCGAACGCACTGGAGGCGCGCGGTTGGAGCCCTATTTTCCTCTAGGAATTAAAGGAAATGGTAATACAATAATTGTCCATATTCATTCTAGCTCGCCTATATATATATATATATATATTGTTTTATTTTGTTTATCGTGTCTTAGCGCACATATATATACTAATATAGAAAAAATCTTATTTTTGGAATTCCTTTTTCGTATTCCGTAGATTATCATTATTATTGTTTGTTATTGCTCCCTTGGGTTCTTAGTGGAACATAGGGTTTCAACTGCACGTCTCCACTTGCTTCTGTCTTCTGCTGTATTATTCACCTGCATCCATGTTAGTCCATACTCTTTCAACTCCTCTTCACACTATCTCCTCCATGTCACCCTTGTACTGACGACCCACTCGCCGCTTCCCTTTCTGCCTGGTTCCACTCGAGCAATGGTCTGACGCGGGCGCGATGTCACCCAGCGGCCTTCTCAGCGACTGTCCAATCCATTTCCACTTTCTCCTGCATATTTATTGGTTGGCGATTGGTTCTGGTTTAGTTTCTCCCCATAGTTTCTTGTTGGTGATTCTTTCCGGCTACCTGGACAGCCTTTCCAGTTTCGTACATTGTACGAACATTCCACTTCCCCATCCCTATTTTTGCTTTCATCGAATGAAGGCACATCGGCTGACTGGCTTCCCGAAGGCTTTCACCATCCTGCGTCATTCCACTTCCCCGATTCCAGCGAAAAATAAGGTGATTGTTTATATTCGTAGTATTTTTAATATATTTGTGCGCTCAAGTTTCAGTAGCGATTTGATTAAGTTTTGGGGGTGGAGTTGCTAGCACTACGCTCCAACCCTCCCTCTTTATCCGGGCTTGGGGCCGGCTAGAAAATTAGCGAGCTAGTAATCTAGGCGATTATTATTATCATTAGATTATCATTGCTCGAAATTGCATCACTTTAATTTGATATTGATTTCTTTTTTCTCCATGCAGTCTAACTTTTCTAAACGCTTACTGGTGAATTCAGAACCTGCATTGAAGAAACAAGTTGCTCAACTTTTCAAAGGTAAGCTATGCCTTCCTTCTTTCAGTCTAATTCTTATATAAATATTATATGCAACAGTTTCTTTGTTATTACCACTCACTGATGTCAGTCATTTAACCGGAATCACTGAAAAACAAGTGCATCAGTATCATGTGTCGATCGCTTGCATTGTCGGACTAATCTTGAGGATCATGGTGAATGTGTTCCTATCGGAAGGTGAGGGATACAGCACGTTCTATAGTGCACAGCTGTCAGAGATCAATCCCAACGGGCTAGTTTCGCATATGCCAGTTTACACCGTCGACTATCGACCAAAGGGCGGGTGTACTGCTCATCAGTCCGCTCCGTCCTCCTTTATGGCTAGCTGTGAGACCCGGCTATTGAGAGTGTAAGACATGAAAAGATTAGCTGTCTTCGATCATAGGCGCCTGCGTTCTATCTCCCGTGTGAAGTGGTATAATAGGGTGAGCAATATTGAGGTTAGTCATTGGTCGAGTGCTATGTAGGTGGTAGGGAAACCAATCAACGAGGCTGTGAAATTACACCGATTGAGATTGTTAGGACATGTATTACGCATGCATGCCTGATCATCGCCTTCTTCGGTGGGCAATGTTGGCTGATAAAGGGTCAGGCTAGAAAAGAGCTAGCGGCGGTCAAACCATATGATGATTTCATTAGTCAGTAAAATGCACAACACTTAGTTTAAGCCAGTCGCGTAGAAAGTTGTAGACTTCCAATCTAATCGCTGTTCTCTGGGCGGTAAAAACCAATGGTTGGAAACAATTGGTGATATGGCTCAAAATCTTTCTCAATGGCTGGTGTAGATGCATCCACTCCTTGTGACTTATGATTTCCAATGAAACTATATTGTTCTTCGTTATTACTATTCCTTTTGTCTCATATATCTGTTTACTGTCTGTATTATGCATTTCTTCTACTTTCTTCTGTTACTTTGTGTTCTACATGGAGGGAATGTGGCGACTTGAACTGGTGCACATCGGTGCAAAGTTCTCTGCTGAAAACAGATAGCACAGTTGTCATCGTATATCACAGCATGTCGTAGGACATTAGCTAATGATGGCTTCTGAAAGTTTTCTCGTTATCTATATTGAAAAAATTGTATTTGTCTAAGTGTCTTTGCATGGTGTGATATAAGAATAGAACTTGAGCGCTGTGGTGGTAGAGTATATACATCCATTATGGATAACATTTATTTTGATAAAATCTCACAGTTCTGTTGTTATACAGTAATGATTTACAGATGACCACGTTTCGAGCACAATTTATTGCGCTACTCTCATAATAATATCAACCCACCACAGGATCATAGGGAATAATAAAAAGACAGTTGCTGAGAAGAAAATTTTCTTTTCGACGAAATCACCGTCAACTAGATAACTGTACATTCGTGTATTTCATATAATAAATGGGTAGGAAAGTTCCAGACTAATTTGCGGTTAAGGAATTAAAATGTCATAGTAAACAGGGGACGAATAAAGCTCAGACAAAGTAGCATCACAATTACTGAGAAGATTGATATTGATTGTGCAATTAGGAGTTAGAAATGTAAAAATAGCAAAATTAGACAGGATGTTTGGATAAAAAAAAATCTAGTGGGATCATAAATAATGTGATGAATAATTGCTTATGCAATCAGGGATTAAATATGTAGAAATAATAAAATGACAAAAGATAGTCAAGAAGTTCGGATATGAAAATATAGAGTAGTGTAAATAGTGGAGGGATCATGAAAAACTTAAAAGTAACATGAATAAACAAGAAGTTTGGATAAGAAAGGCAATGGGATAGTCACTATTAAAAGAATCACCTGTTTATGATGGCCATGACAGGGACAAGGGTTGGACGTATTTCTTTTGGATACAAAGCGTGGCTTTGAGATTTTGGATAGCTAGTACCTCGGCTATGCCCAAATGTATTAATTTGACTCCCTTTGATAGGTTTGATCAAATCTTGTATATTATTATTATTATTATTATTATTGTTATTACCATATTATTCCTAATTGTAATTCTGTTAATCTGACTCGACCGAAAATTATTCTGGAACTTTCCCATCCATTCATTATATGATGATATATCCGTCTGATTTCGCACACACTGGAAGATATGCAAGTGAAAAGCACCAAGCTGGTGATAGAAGAAGCATCAAAGATAAGACTTCAGGTGAACAACGAGAAAACAGATGTAGGTGATGAAGATTCCTGGCCAACAGCCACAGCAACAACAACAACAACAGATGACAATCAGCATAAATGGGAGGAACCTGGAAGAAACAACCTACTTTACCTACCTGGGAAAGTATCGTTTCAACTACAGGCGGACGGAACTGATGATGATATCAAAGTGAGGATCAGGAAAGCAAGACAAGCTTTCGTTACTCTCAAATAAATAAATAACATGTTAAAGTGTGATGATAACGTGAATAGTAACAAAGACAAAATTTTGTATTACTTCTTATCTTATGATTTGACTGACTGCTGGTAATAATATCTTCCATACATATCTCCGGTATTTGCGTTAAGTCACTTTTACTGCATGTGTTAGGTGTAGACTCGATGAACCAGGCCGGATTCCGTAATGAATCTCTCTCTCTCCCTCCCCACCTACCTATATTACTGTTTATAATTTTAACCCTCTCCCACCGTGCTATTGTGTGGTTGTGTGTTAATGCATACATGAAGTGCAATTGCTGAGCTTTTTTCTAAATTACTTATCTTTTCAGGGTCAATCATTCTTACCTTATCTAAATCCTTATGTTCCGACAATCTGACTACCCCCGACCTACTAGTTTGACCTATGTAGTCGACTTGACTCACAGTCATTGCATGGTATTTTGTAAATTATATTATTTTGTTTACTTGGGTCAACCTACGTGGTCCTTTAACCAACAGAGCTTCTCCTATCTGAGTAAGTTTGTAGGTTTCATAAATTACCACCTGCTTTATTGAGAATCTTACGTAGGGTCTCAGATGTCCCCTCCTTATATGATAAAACTACTTTAGATGCCTTATACTCTCTTATTTATGTTACCGTTATTAGTTTCATCATTATTATTCGGTGTGCCTTCCTTGATTACACACCTGCATTTGACTCTGTTCCCAGGTCTCTCTTGCTAAGTAAGCTTGCCGCAACACAGGCTGAGAGCTGGACAAATAAGTGGTTGCATTCCTATTTTTCTGATAGGAAGCAGTACACCGTCTACAATGGAAAATCCTCCACTACCTCACTTACTTTAGCTAGCGTTCCTCAAGGTGCTGTTCTTTCTCCCTTTCTGTTTTCGTTTTTCTTACATGACTTGCCTCATTCTGATGTAGCCACTTTTGTTAAGTATGCCGATGACCTCTCGGTTTCTATGCCTGTCAACTCTCAGTCAGATTGTTCCAAATTAAATAACTTTCTGTCGGAAATTAGTCAGTGGTCCTCTTCAAACGGACTTAAGCTTAATCCGTCTAAATGTCAGGTAGTCAATTTCAGTTTCAGACGTAAATGTGACCTACACCAACTAGCTAGGCCACATGGCCTCACTATCATTGATGGCACAGAGGTTGAAAATACATCTAATGTCAAATACCTTGGGCTGAGTTTTCCCACCGATCTTTCCTGGTCTTCCCACATCTTTCTAGTTACTAGAAAGATGTTTCGCTTAACGTTCTACATTAAGAAATTTAGGCAGTCTGGTATAAAGCAGTCTTTGCTTTTTCAGTTTGTAAATTCTTGTATTTTATCCATCCCCCTTTACTGCTCCCCATTAATCTTTCCTGAACTACTTAAGAAAGACTTTGCTTTGCTGAGAGGGGCAGGCACTAAATCCCGTTAGTAGGGCAAGTGGGATATCGTCAAACCAACTGGTGAACACTATTGTAGATAGACATATAATGTCATGTAAGAAACTAGCGAATACAATATTGTCGGACCCCGAGCATCCTCTCTATACGCATCTATCTCCTTGCATTTCATCTGGAAGAACTAGAAGCAGCTATAGGAGGCTATATGCTAGGACTACGAAATACAAAAACTCCACAATACCATATTCGGCACAGCTGTAATGTGATGAGAGATCCGTTAGGTATGACACGATCAACTTACTGCGGCACTCTAACAAATAGTCCCATTATTTGTGTTTCTTATCTTGGCATTAGTTTCTCGTCAAATCTTTGCTGGTCGTCTCATATTCTTATAGTTTCTAAGAAAGTTTTCCGTCTGACTTATTACATAAAGAAGTTGAGACACTCAGGTATAACTCAATCTCTTATCATACAATTTATTAATTCATGTGTTTTGCCCATCATTCTTTATTGTTCTCCATTATTCTTCCCTGGGCTACTCAAGAAAGATCATATAATACTACGAAGAACATTGAGGGCTGTAAGTAGGGTCAGTGCTATCCCTTTGACTGAACTAAATGACACTGTTGTCAATAGGCATATGAATTCTTGTAAACACTTAGCTAAAGTTATCTTATCTGATAGTGAACATCCTCTTTATTCACAATTATTTCCTTGTATCTCTTCGGGTAAGACCAGAAGAAATTTTATAAACATTTATGCTCGTACTACAAAATATAAAAATTCGACCGTTCCATATTTGGCACGAGTATTGTGTGAAGAGACAAATATCAGAAAAGAACTTTTACAACTTTTGAATCAGTAACTAAACTATAAAATGTAATGATGCATATTAATGCAAGTGTTATTTGTTATATTATTTATTTATTATTCACTATGACCTAGAAATGGTATGATTTTGTTGGGTTTTTTATTTATATTTATTTTTATTATTTTTTCCTATTAACTATCAATATTTTAACATTTTATATATTTATATAATTATAAACAGAGCTAAACCATTGCAATATGTAAAAGAAACGCTGAAAATTCCATGCTGTAAATTGTTATTGTTGTGGAATAAAGTGATTATTATTATTATTATTATTATTATTATTTTTTGTTTTCCTTTCCTCGTTACTATTACACTGTTGTTCTCATCTTCTATCATCACACA